CCTCTCATGATTTGGCACGATTTTGTTTGATACCATACAACATATTTGGATTTCCCTTTAATGCAAAATCAAATCAAAACAATCTTTTATTATTTTTTGTTATTTATTTGATTTAATGTGACTTTTAATAGATAAAAATCAAAATAAAATCAATAAATAAAGAAAATAATATATGGTTGCTGATTTGGGTTGTGGACCATGTCCCTAACAAGATACAATCCTGAAATGCTAGGCCCATTTGACAAAAAATGCACTTTTGAGCACTTTTGTCTTTTTGGCAATTTTCCAAAAAAGGTCAACTTTGATAATGCATATCTCTTCCAATTTTAACCCTAGAGAGGTGTTCTTGGACTTTTTAGAAAGCTTAGGATGTCCCCTAAACAACCCTTTTGGTCTCATCTCAATTGACCTTCCATGTTCATGTAAGGAGCTTTGACCCAAAAGGTGTTTTTGTTGACTTTTCAAAAGGACCTATAATGTAGAAATTCATATCTTTTTATGAGTGCATTTTTTGAACTTGAGGGTTGAAGATGAGTTGCAGGTAATTGGATTCTCTTTAAAATGAGCCTTGGATGAGAAATTTCTGACAAAGTATGAGAAAATTATGCTTGGTCAAAGTTTGGTTGACTTTTCCTGAGAAACCCTAATTTAGCTACTTTTGAGTTTTGATGAATTAGGAGCATTCCTTGGGGAATCATGGTCAACCCTTGATCAAATGATGAATATCACTTCAAAATGTTGATGTTAACCAAAAATCTTGAAGTTTTACTGTATGTGGGTCATAGTTGACTTTTGACCTAGTACAGTTGATTTTCAAGCATCTGAGCAGTTGATTGAGTAAACTTTTTGTGCAAGGCATGAAACTTGGCATGGATGATCTTGAGAACATATTAGGACCATGAAAAAGATTTGAGGCCTTTGGAGTTCACCTATCTTGATGAAAATGGAAACCCTAGTCTAAGGTTCATTGCTTTAGGAGAGAGTTTGTCTGGTCAACTCTTGGGCATCCTTGAGCAAGTTGAGGATCTCAATGAACATATGTTGAGTAAAGTGGGAGGGAAAATTTTGGGGTACAACAAACGAGTACATCCCTCTTGAAGATCTGCAATACATATTATATGAGCTCCTACCATATAGTGACAATCAGAAAATTGAGAAGATCGAGTACCGCTCACCGGTCGTTGACAAAGAAGGGAAGCTTGAGTTTAACAACCATGGGCTGAAAACTGCCGGTGATTTAAGGACTATGTGGAGAATATTTTTCTGTTTAGAATCAAAAGTTCCGATAGAGCTGGATGCGACTATTTCGAGACCGGTCAATGATATTATCAAGATGTTGTAATATCCACCTGAATGTTGAAGTGTAATGTTTGATCTATGTTAAGAGCCCTTATGTATTGCTTATTTTATGATATCAATGGTATTTTGATATTTCAATTTTGTTTTTCTGCATTCTGTAAGGCATTATTATAGAAATATACAGTCAGTTTGATACCGGAAATGTAATTCCAGAAAATTTATATTTTTATTACATCATGATCTATTCCAAAGATGTATCTCCGAAATCTAGAGATATTTAAGTAGTTTTGCGCAGTGCGCTAGAAAAACATAGGATGTAAATTCCCTAAATTAGTTTATTGGACTTGTAAAAGAACCCGAAGTCATTGAGCCCACTATCACCCAAGAATAGGCCCATTATTGTAAACAAATAAAAAAAAACACAAAAAATGAGACATCGTTATTTATAACAAGAAAAAACACAACCTAGTTCGTTTTAGGGTTTATATTGCGGCAGAACACTCTTTCGTTGTCTCTCCACTCCCTCGTCACCATGGTACGTTATCAAGTTCATACCCCTTCTATATTTTCATCATTCTCTTCATTCCATAACATCTTCATGTATGCTAAATTTTCAGATCATATCAGAGAAAAACCGCAAAGAAATCTGCAAATACCTCTTTCAAGGTATATTCAACACGAATCATCTTAGTTCATATACGTTTGTGTGATGTGTGATCTTACTTTTGTTTTTTGTTTTTTGAATTGTTGAGTTCAGAGGGTGTTTGCTATGCCAAGAAAGATTTCAATTTGCCAAAGCACCCAGAAATCGACGTTCCTAATTTGCAGGTGATTAAGCTTATGCAGAGCTTCAAATCAAGGGAGTATGTTAGGGAAACGTTTGCGTGGATGCATTATTACTGGTTCCTGACGAATGATGGAATTGAGTTTCTTAGGACTTACCTTAATCTTCCTTCTGAGATTGTGCCTGCTACTTTGAAGAAACAGGCTAAGCCTGCTGGGAGGCCTTTCGGTGGTCCACCCGGTGATCGCCCTAGGTAGTTTATTCTTCATTAGTTTTTGTAATGTGTTGTGATTTTTTAGGGTTTTGATTATGTGGTTGATTGTATAATGGTTAATTTGTGAATTTAGGGGTCCACCAAGGTTTGAAGGTGAACGGAGATTTGGAGGTGACCGTGATGGGTACCGTGGAGGTCCGAGGGGACCTGGTGGTGAATTTGGTGGAGACAAGGGAGGTGCTCCTGCTGATTACAGACCCTCATTTGGGGTAAGCTTATTGTGTATATCAATGCTACTCTATAGGTCATGTTATGGATTTGCTCGTTGCCTAGGTTTAGCATCTTTGTTTACTATCTAAGATGATGTCGTGTATATAGAATGTCTTCTTGCTTTTATGAGGAGTAAATCTGTAAATGATTTTGGTTTTGTATATGTATTTTAAATGTTCAATTATGTGTGTTCCAATAGGAGGAACTCACGGTGTTTCAATACTTGTTTTATTACACGTCTGAACTCATTCTTAGGAGAGCCCATTGTTGTCCATGGCGGAGAGCCAAAATCTCGCCATATTGGATGCTTTGTGGTGCCGTTATAGCGGGTTATGGTGAAATCCCATAAAACCGGCTGATATTCACCATTGTGGCTAGCCCAAAACCACCACGTTAAATCCTCCATAGTGCCATTTGGGGATGTTTGATGACACTGGGATTAATTTTGAGGACTTACAGATGATTTTGGCGTGTATGGGAGTTCTCAACTAGAATTGAGTTTTGACTCTATGATTCTATAGCTTTTGCCGCCAAACATGATTTAACATTCAAATATCCAAGCATAAGTTAGTTTACCTTACACTCAATATTAATCAAAAACAATTTTTAACACTAGGATTAATTCTTAGGAGAGCCCATTGTTGTCCATGGCGGAGAGCCAAAATCTCGCCATATTGGACGCTTTGTGGTGCCGTTATAGCGGATTATGGTGAAATCCCATAAAACCGGCTGATATTTACCATTGTGGCGAGCCCAAAACCACCACGTTAAATCCGCCATAGTGCCATTTGGGGATGTGAGTTTTGACTCGATGATTCTATAGCTTTTGCAGCCAAACATGATTTAACATTCAAACATCCAAGCATAAGTTAGTTTACCTTACACTCAATATTAATCAAAAATAATTTTTACCTCCGTCAAACCAAACACACACTGGGTATCTATCTAATGTAGCATCCTATCAGCTTCTGGTCTATGGCGTCCCTGCAATTTATGTGTGGGCTATGTTAACTTCTCAATTTCATTTGCAGTTGTGAAGTTTACTTGTTGTGACTTTTCCTCATGTACTTGGATGCCTTTTTTAAGAACTCGATTTTTGACCAAAACATAATTCTGTACTTTGATTATTGTAGTTTACATTTCCTGGTTTGAGTTGTGATGCTTTTGTTGTTTCATAGTCATGTAATGTAGTCTTCATGTTCTTAACTAGGTATTTGCATTTTCATAGAAGAATTTTTGCAGAAATATGTTTCTGGTTCTGTATATATAATTGTGTTCCACTATTTTGGATTTAGTCCTGTTGTTTTCTTGTTGAAATTTTCCTGAATCTATTGAGCTGTCTTATTGTGCAGGGTCCTGGTGGAAGGCCTGGCTTTGGTCGTGGATCTGGTGGTTTTGGAGCACCAACAAGTTCAAATGATGCTTAAATTATAATGATTTCTCCTCAAGTTTTCGATTTAGTTTTTTTTAACACAATTTTCTTGTAGTTGAAGTTTATTATACATTCTCCTCACAGTGGTTGTTTAATCGGCATGTCACAATACTCTATTAATCGTATTTATCATTCAATGAAAATTTTGAATTTCCGAGTGTTTTGTTGAACTTGCGGCTACCACAATCTCTTATTTTCTCTTATTTGTTCTGCAATGAGTGCCAAAGCTCATATGTTTACAACTCTTCCTATGTCTGAAATTTGGGCCATAACTTTCTAACAATTTTGCCATTATCTGGCTTATTTTACCTAATTATCCCATAACTCAATCCAAATGAAACATACATTTTTTAAACTAATGATTCAAAACTAAACCGAACTGCAAATAATGTTAACTGGATCATATGAGTTGTTAGCAAACGGCCCTATTTGAGACAATCTTTTCATAGCATCTAGTAATTTCCCCCCCAAAACATGGCATGTCTGCATTCACATTTCAAGCACAAACACTAGTTGAGAGTTGAGACAATATTCTCGTATTCTACAGACCGAACTATGCATAATAGAGAGTTGAGTTGATTTCAAATAGAGAGGAAAGAAAATCTCTTCAGAACTTTATATATATACAGACTATGAAACACATATAGTACATGTATGTACACAGAAAAGTACGTGTATGTACACAGACAAGCTCAACGAAATTCGTGATCATGAGTCTGTAGTACATGACTTTATAACTAATCTCTTTCATTTCATGTTCAGTTTATCATCCATTACCTTCTTTTTCTTTTTCATGCATAAAGTTTTCAATACGTGTTGAATTCTCAATCACACCACCAGTTTCCAACAGTTTCAATTCATATGCAATCTGTGAATCCACAGTGAAACGTGGTTAGAACTTATAGGTGAAAACACGAACCTAATAACAGAAAGAAGCATGGTTTCTAGAAATCTCAAGTGTTTTAACCATTATGGAATACAAAGCAAGCATCTTGTGATAAATCTTCAAAAGCAAACTTTTAGAAATCACGTTTCTGTTTTACCTTTTACAGGTAGACTTATCAATAGTCAAGTATTATACTCATGATCCAGAAAACTCCATTTCAGGTTTCTTGCATCACACTTATCCTACATTTGCTTTTTTTTCACTTTCTTTGTGTTTCTGTTTTGTTTTGTTTCTCTCTGTATGTTTCAACATTAGCTTCCATTACATTGTTCCAAGAACAAAGGTACCTTTGTATTTTCATATACTTCTTGTATGTTTGTATGGTTGAATGAAAACTCTATCTTTGATTCTTGAAATTCACAATTTTGTTGTGTGTATTGGAAAGGTGAAGACCCTTTGTTCAAGTTTCAACATGGCAACAAAAGAGTCAAGCTCTTCTGCTTCTGCTTCGGCTTCTGCGGACACGAAAATCAAAAGGGTTCTTACTCATGGTGGTAAATATGCACACTACAATGTGTATGGAAACTTGTTTGAGGTGTCTTGTAAGTACGTGCCTCCCATTCGTCCTATTGGTAGAGGCGCGTATGGTATCGTTTGGTAAGCGTCTTTTGTTTCTTTCTTTCATAGGACGAGGTAAACGCATGAGTTTGGTGTTTGTTTGTTTGATTGTTGGAAATGATTTTACTGTCACTTGAACAATGTTTCTTTTTAGTGCTGCTGTTAATTCCGATACGCATGAACAAGTTGCCATTAAGAAGATTGGTAATGCTTTTGACAATATAGTTGATGCGAAAAGGACTTTGCGAGAAATCAAGCTCCTTCGTCACATGGATCATCAAAATGTAAGCGCTAATTATGAAACTAGACATGAATTAGTTAGGGATTATTTAACTAAATTTCTGAAGATTATTTTTAACAGATCATTGCCATCAAGGATATCATACGACCCCCGAAAAAGGAAGCATTTAATGATGTATACATTGTTTATGATTTGATGGACACTAATCTCCATCATATAATTCATTCTGACCAACCTCTCTGCGAAAAACATTGTCAGGTTTGCTCCTAATGATATTGTTAGACCTTAATAGCGTGAGAACTATTATTTTTTTCCGAGGAACTCTATTAGATTCGCTAAGTTCTAACATGAAGTGTTCACACAAACTCTGCAGTACTTCTTATATCAGCTGTTACGTGGGCTGAAATATGTGCACTCGGTTAATGTTTTGCACCGTGATCTGAAGCCGAGTAATTTACTAGTGAATACAAACTGTGACCTTAAAATTGGCGACTTTGGTTTGGCAAGGACAACATCTGAAACCGATTTCATGACTGAGTATGTTGTCACGAGATGGTACCGCGCCCCAGAATTACTCCTCAATTGTTCCGAGTACACGTCTGCGATTGATGTTTGGTCTGTTGGTTGCATATTTGGTGAAATTATGACCAGAGAGCCCTTGTTTCCTGGCAAAGACTATGTTCATCAGCTAAGGCTTATCACAGAGGTATGGTTTTGATGTTTCCCTTTTTTAACTTCAACTGAAACATTGCTAAGTTTCTAACTGATGTATTATTGCATTTGAAGCTATGATAGCTCTCTTTGAAATCATATCAGGTTCCATCTTGAATGTTGTTAACATTATAGTTGGTTGTAAATTTGATGGCCACAAGTTGTGTGACACTTTTTTTTTCTTCTGCATAAAAGTTAATAGGTTCGCCCGATGATGCTAGCCTTGGATTTCTCCGAAGTGACAATGCTAGAAGATACTTTAGACAGTTTCAACAATACCGGAAGCAAAAATTCTCATCTAGATTCCCAAACATGTTACCTGAGGCACTTGATCTGTTAGAAAAGATGCTTATCTTTGATCCAAACAAACGCATCACAGGTACTTATTATCTCTGTGGCACTGACACCTCTGAAAAAAGACGTGTCATTGTCAGTGTTAGTGTCGTGTCTGTGTGCTTCATAAATCTTATATATTTATGTAGTATTTTCATTGATTTGCAGTTGACGAGGCACTGTGTCACCCATATCTTTCATCACTTCACAACACGAACGAGGAGCCGGTGTGTCCAAGGCCATTCACTTTTGATTTTGATCAGCCAACATGCACTGAAGATCATATCAAGGAGCTCATATGGAAGGAATCTGTGAAGTTCAATCCAGATCCACCTTGTCAGTAATCCCTTTCTTATTTTGTGTAAAATGTAACCTCTATTGCCTGTCCATCGTCGTTCAGATGATTCGCTAAAGACAGAAGCTCTCTCCCTTTGTAATCTAATCCTAAAACCGAACTACGACATGGAAAGAAACTTCTCTTGAAAATCGGATGTTACACGCATTTATACGAGTAATAAAAAGCTGTTGTATTGTTCTCAAGTTTGCTTTAGGAGGAATAGGATGTCATGGACAAAGAAAAAACATGATAGCAAAATTGTGACGAGTCTGTTATGGACATCGAGCTTCTTTCATAATACCTGATGTTTATCTTTAAACCGCGTTTTTTAAGTTTCAATTATGTATCTGGTAACATTTGTTAGATATGAAGATTCCTTCCTTCACCTATGGTGATCAATGAATCTTCTTGTTTCATTGCTAAATTTGATGAGTTTGAATAAGTAATTTGTTTTGCATTATAGAAAAGGACTGACAGAAAATCTGTAATAAGTCTCAAACAAACAGTTTTTGGAAGCATTACATTGTTTGGATTGTTCCCTTGAAATCGAGCCGTTGCTTCTATACTATCATCACAAATTTATTCTATAAGTACATGTTTGAACCTCGACATCATCTTCAATAGGCAAACCTCCTTCTGGAAAGGTGCATGCCGCAATATCCTCTACTCCTTGGTCTGGCAATAGGCCACATGGCACAGGAGTGACACCACTTGAAATCCCGGCTATATTCGTGCAATTCCAAGGCAGTTTTTTCGCCTTCTTTGCTAGTCCAATTGTTACATTGGATATGCAGATTCCGGTAAACGGTGCATTAGATATACCCTCCAACTTTGCAGCCATAGTCACGTTTTCAGCAACCATATCGTGGTAATTAATATTCTGAACCACAGGAATCGCGTTAGGATCGTAGTTGTTATCAGCATGAGAGCCATAATCTCCTGTCATCCAAAATGCCCATTTCATTGTTTTCATGGTCATCCTTCTAACATATATGTCTCTCACATATCCTCCTCTTCCAACAGCAGTTTTGATCCTAACTCCTGATTCGGAATCGATCGCTAGAATGTCCTCAGCCCGTACGTCTTCAATACCACCCGACATTTCGCTCCCTAAAGCAATCACAGCACTGGTTGGAGAAATGCAAGTGAGTCTTTTAACCACCAGCTGCTTAGTTGGCATTCCATAAGCTATACCATACTCATCCCAACCACTTTTCACAGCCACACAGTCATCCCCGGACACTATATAACAGTCCTCAATCCGCGTGTTCGTGCAAGAGTCTGTGCCATAAACCATAAACCACAATCAGTCCCGGATATACTAGACTATACATCGCAGCATCTTGAAAAAGATGTATATACTAACTTAACTTACCAGGGTTGATCCCATCTGTATTTGGCGAATTCACAGGAGCGAGAATTGTGATGCCTCGAACAACAATGTTGCTGCATTCAATTTCTTTATATCAGAAAACTCAGAACAATAATGTAGCAGATTGATAATTGATAACAGACACCACAAAGAGAAAAAGATGAACCTGCTATAAACAGGATGAACATTCCAGGATGGAGAATTAACCAAAGTCAGATTCGATATCTGAATATCATCTGAGTGCATGATTTCAATCAGGTAAGGCCTGGTATAGCTAAGCTCCCCCTTATGGAACTTTTGCCACCACACTTCACCTTGTCCATCTAATGTTCCATTGTCCCCTATTCATATTCATAGTTAAAGCAACCGAATTTTAGTTCCCAAAAGCATAACCGGATTGTACAGTTCAATCTTCGATTACACAGAAATAGCAGGCAAACTGACAACAATCATCGATCTTATAAGTTACCTGTTATGACTATATCAGTGAGGTTGGTTCCAAAAATTAGACTGCTATATCGTCCGCCTTGAGTGTCCCTCCCTCGACCATAAGACGGTAAGGGCTCAATCACCGGCCACTCACTTTCGTCCTAAAAAGTCACATCACGAACATAATATCAACATTCAAAGCACTTCAATTACATCACATTTGCATATTCATATAGATGTACAAGACTAGTTAAGCTAATAATCAAACCTGAGAGGCAAGAATGACTGCATCTTTGTGTAGGAACAAAGTGAAATGACTGGTGAGATTGAAACTACCAGTCAACCATCTTCCTGGTGGAACATAAAGTTGAGACCCGCCGTTCGACGAGTACTGACTCAGATGATCTACAGCCGTCTGAAAGGCCCGCGTGTTCGAAGTTTGTCCATCGCCAACCGCTCCAAACTCCGTCACTGAGGCACTGTAAGCTCTGCAGCTCACAGCACAGTACTCAACATAGTGCTCCACAGCCAGTGTTTTTCGGCTCTCGACTACATTCAAGCCTGGCAAAGCAACCAATAGAGGCAGTAACAACAATAACACATCCATAGGAAAGAAATATGAGAGTTTAAGCAATGTTGAGCTATAGATACATGTATAGGTCTATGTGTATATATATATACATATATATTCTCTCATCACTCCACCCACCCAACCACAAATTATATTTCTTATTCTGTCATGTGATAACATTTACAGGAGTGTGATAAAGTTGCATTTAACTGGTTAAGATTAAACAGAATTTACTGGACCAAACTATTGCATTTTGGTTGGAATTTGTTAAGTTGGTTTAGTCTATAAGTCAAATAATGCATTTTTCTACATTAAGTTATAGTCCTTTTTTAGCTTAAATTATATAGTAGGAGACATTTTGGGAAGTGAAAAATTAAATGCTTGCATTATTAACTTTCTTAATGTAGTTTCTTTCATCATGTGACAAAATGTATGTATTCTTGGAAATTAGGTCATTTCATTTGTGAAGGTTGGCATGCTAGTTTTCTTATGTTCATCTAAAGAAAAATAATGAATTGCCAAGTGGAGTTTGAAAACATGCTATCAACTAAACATAATCTACTATAAAAATCGAGTATCCGCTGCGTAACTGTAAATACTAGTTCTTCGAACCGGAAATGATCAAAATAGATAACAGTTTTTTTAAAGAAAATTTAACATTGTTGTATAAGTAAAATATCGCGAATTTGAATCTACACTCTTATAATTGAATTATCATGGACAACTATAAAGATTCCATTTTGCACTTTTTAGTTCCACCTTCTCTTGCCTTCCATTTTCTAGCTATTTAATTATATTTTCTCCTTAATGTGTGTGGTTATTATACCTTAGAAGTTTTTAGTGGTTCACTATAGGTTCTATTTTAAGGTGTAGAAGAGAAAGTGGTATGGCCAATATAGATTATGGGCATCGAGTGGGCAATAAGAGTGTTTGGATGGGTCCCACATTGGTCACGGAAGTTTGTTCGAATGTGTGTATGTGACCTAACAATATATTATTGCATTCCCGTGAAGATTTCTAATCACGGAAACATGACACGTGTACAATCTCATGATGCTGCTATTATCGATACTCATCACGGGCTAAACCTCGTTTTCTTTTGAGAAAATGTATGTCCATTTTCACAATTTGAAAATATTGTATTAACTTCCTAAAAAATAGAGATTAATGTCAATATGATGTCTGTTGAGAAAAATTAGATATTTGCATTTAATTTAGTTGAAAAATTAGATATGATATTTATGATATCTAATTATGAGAAAATGATGAAGGAAATAGATTGATATATTTTTATTTTTTAAAATAAAATTTGGTATCCTTTATATTTATGAAAGAGGTATATTTATATTAGTAGAAATACTACTATTATAATTGTTATTATTATTCTATCTTTGACAAATTATACATCACTAATAATTTGTCATTACAATTTTAAATTTGATTATTAGATAAAATTTTTTAAATAATTATAATAATACTCTTCATTATTATAACACTCCTTCTTAAAAATATCTATCATGGTATTTCTTTGAAACCTTGTTGAGGAGAATTTTATGGGAACATATGTAGTCTCGTTAAAAACTTTATAAAGAAAAACTCATTGGAATAAAAATCTTTAAGGGAAAAAAAGTACAATATTACGCTCCTCCTCAATAGAACACACACAGTTCTTCTTTAAAGATCTCGAAGATGACGCATTCCAATATTTTGTACATGCTTCTTGAAAACTGATGTAGAAAGTGTCTTTGTAAAGATATCTGTCACATTATCACTTGAACGAATATACTGAATATCAACCTCTTTGTTTCTTTCAAGTTCTTGTGTGTGAGAAAAATTTGGTAGGGATATGTTTGATTTTGTCACTTTTTATGTAACCTTCTTTCATCTGGGTAACATATACAGCAGTGTCTTCATACAAAACTATTGAGTTATTATCAATTGATAAACCAGACGCTCCTTGAATATGTCGAGTTACCGATCGTAGCCATGTACACACTTTACTTGCCTTATGAAGGGCAATTACTTCAGCATGATTTGAAGAAGTTACTACAAGTGTTTACTTTTGCGATTTCTATGATATTGCAGTTACCATATGTAAATATATATCCAGTTTGTAATTTAACATTATGTGGATCTGACAAGTACCCCGCATCTGCATAACCAAGCAAAACTGATTTTGTATTATTAGAATAAAATAAACCAAGATCAGATGTACCTCGAAGATATCAAAATATATGATTTATTCTTTTCCAATGTCTTTTTGTAAGACATAAGCTGAATCTTGCTAGCAAATTCACTGCAAAAGCTATATTAGGTCTTATATAGTTAGCAAGGCACATGAGTGCCCCAATGGCACTGAGATATGGTACTTCAGAGCCAAGATCTTCTTCATTATCTTCCTTAGATCAAAATGGATCATTGTCAATATTAAGTGTTCTACCGATCATTGAAGTACTCAAAGAGTTTGCTTTGTCCATGTTATATCTTTTCAATACCCTTTCTGTATAATTTGATTGATGTACCAATATACCATTTTTAGTATATTCAATTTGTAAACCAAGACAAAAGCTAGTTTTTCCCAAATATTTCATTTTAAATTATTTCTTTAAGTAATCTCTTGCTTCCTTAACTTCTTTATTAGTTCCAATGATATTTAAATCATCAACATAAACAACAATTATTACAAAATCAGATGTTATTTTTCTTATAAAAACACAAGAGCAAATAAGATTATTCTCATAGCCTTCTTTAAGTAAATATTCACTTAATCTATTATATCATATGCACCTGAATTGCTTTAAACCATATAATGATCTTTGCAACTTAATTGCATATATTTTTCTAGGTTTTGATGTCTCGGGTATTTTAAATCCTTCTGAGACTTTCATATATATATATATATATATATATATATATATATATATATATATATATATATATATATATATATATATATATATATATATATATATATATATATATATATCAATGTCAAGTGAACCATATAAATAAGAAGTAACAACATCCATAAGATACATATCAAGATTGTTAAATACTGATAAACCAATTAAATAATGAAAAGTAATGGCATCCATAACGGGAGAAAATGTTACCTCATAATCAATTCATGGTCTTTTGTAAAAACCTTGTGCAACAAGACGAGCTTTGTATTTGACAATTTCATTTTTCTCATTTTACTTTCTTACAAAGACCCACTTATATCCAACTGGTTTCACATCTTTATGTATACCATAATAAGGCCAAATACGTTTCATTTTTTAAGAGAATTTAATTAAGTATCTATATCATCCTTTCAATTTTTCCAATCATGTCTATTTTGACATTCATTCATAGATCGGGGTTCGGGATCATCATTTTTATTCATAATTTCATATGCAACTGAGAATAAAAACATTTCATCAATATTCACACCTTTTTGGTTCAACAAATTTCATGTATTAACATAATTAATTAAAATCTCGAGATCATTCTTGTTTTTAGTTACATTATCAATGATCTCATTATCATCATCTTGTGCTTCTTCGAGAGCATGTTTTTCAATCGTGGATTTATTATTATTATCCAGTATCTTTTCAAGGCCACTTTCAATCAAATTCACCTTTTCTATTACCTTTCTTTTTCGGGTATTTTTGTCTTTGGATCCCATAGGTCGGACATGCTTTAAGTGTGCCTTATATGTACTTGCTACATCATTTAGATTTGAAATCTCAACTCTAGCTGGAACATTTATTGTTGGTACATGTGACTTTGTCACTCTTTTCAAATCAGTAAATGAATTTGGCAATTGATTTGCTTAATCTTGTAAGTGTACTATTTTCTTTATATTTTTTCACATGATCTATTATATGGGTCCAAATGTAATAAATGAGATACATACCATGTTATGTCCTTTTCTACCTTTTTTATTCTCTCCTCCAAGTGTTGGAAATTTTGTCTCGTCAAAATGATAATCAACAAATCTTGCCTGAAAAACATCACCTACTAAAGGTTCAAGATATTTAATAATAGATGATGATTCATACCCCGCATATATTCCTAACCTCCTTTGAGGTCCCATATTTGTTCTTTGTGGTGGAGATATTGATACATATATTGCACAACCAAATATCTTTAAATGATAAATATTTGGTTCCTTACCAATTGCAAGTTGATAAGAGGTATGTTTATGACCAACATCTTGCCTTAGACGGATGAATGCTGCAGCATGTAAAATTGCATGACCCCAAACTGTAACTGTTAGTTTAGTTCTTATTATTAATGGTCTAGAATTATATTGAAGATGTTTGATTAAAAACTCGGCTAAACCATTTTGTTTATGCACATGAGGAACATGATGTTCAACAATAACTCCAATTGACATACAATAATTATTAAATGATTCAGATGTAAATTCACCTGCATTGTCAAGTCTAATTTTCTTTATAGTGTATTCAGGAAATTGAGTTCTAAGTTTAATTATTTGTGCAAGAAAATTTTCAAATTCCATATCACGACTTGACAATAAGCATACATATGACCATCTACTAGATGCATCAATCAATACCATAAAATACTTGAATGATCCCGACGGTGGATGGATAGGTACACATATATCTCCTTGAATTCTTTCAAGAAACGCCAGTAGTTCTGTCTGAATCTTATCTGGTGAATTCTTTGTTATTAGTTTTCCTAGAGAGGAAGCTTCACACGATATATCTTCTTTTGCAAGTTTTAAACTTTTCAATGGATGACCATGCATACTTTCAACTATTTTACGCATCATTGTTGAACCAGGATGACCTAAACAATCATGCCATAAATTCACAATTTTGGGATCTTCTTTTACTACTAAATTACATTCAATTTCATGTATATATGTATAATGTAATATAAAAGGTAATTTTGGCAGTTTTTCTAAAATTTTCTTCTTTCCCAAAACAATGGCAGTGATATTAATGTATTTCATATTACCTTCAGTTTTAGTTTCAGTATCATATCCTTGACGATATATATGTCATTAAACTCAATAAATTTCT